GTAAGTTGGAAGCTTATGGATTCATTCGTTTTAGGATGTGTAATCTGTTTGATGTTTGATTTGGTATTGAGTTCATTTAATACTATGGAAGTTCTCTTTTTTCTCGGATAAACTCGTGATAGAGTTTTTTTATTTCTGATAATTTCCTGATATATGTATGTGTGTGTGTACATACATGTTTATATGTGTGTCTGTGTATATACATATATATGTCTGTGTTTGTGTTAAAATTGAGTTTTTTCGATTATTGATGATATCTGTTATGGAGATATATGCTATAAGACTGTGTAGCTAGTTTGCGTATTTTGCAAGCATGATGGACTACTAGTGGTTGTATTTGAGCAAAAACGTGAATAATAGACAGTCTGTTTCTGCTCTGTGTGGTTTTATAGGTTTCATGCAAATATGAATTGTTATTTTTGTTCTGTATGTATCTTGCCAATTAGCTTTTTATGTTGTTTTGATGACTCTGATGCATGGAGCTGTCTTTTAGTGGATTGGTGTTTTTTACAGTGTAACCATTTATTTTTAATTTTCTGAGTATACATATAATTGAACTTGAATTTTCAGTCTACTACCATCTGAATTTGTCTGTTTGTATTCTACCTAATAATAATTTTGTAACCTTCATGCATATGAGATGTGTTAGTTCTACCTGTTGTTCTGTTTGGATCTTTTCGATTAGATTGCTGTTTTATAGTTGGTGGTTTAGCCACATGGATCTTATTTTTGGAGTAATAAACTATGTTTTGGTGGATCTTTTTGGTTAGTCTAATTTGTGTTGTGGTTTCTAATGTCAGGAACATAAATAATTCTGTAGCTGTTACAGTTAACAAGTATTCAAGATGGTGAAGTTCACAGCTGAAGAGCTTAGAAACATTATGGACTACAAGCATAACATTCGTAATATGTCTGTTATTGCTCATGTGGACCATGGTAAGCAACTGAAATAATTCTGACGATGTTGCTTAATTATAGTTTTTCTTGAGAATTTTTTTGTTCACGTCTAATAAGAGAAACATTATCGCGCAGTGATCACCTGGAGTTAATCTTGACATTAACATCATACTATTATATATTTTTGGGTAGTACAGTTTTGCTTAATGTTATTTCATTAGTTTTCTTCTCCAGTTTTCCTTTCCGTCCATAGAACAGATTCTAGGTATTGGTAATAGCATACCATCTCCGGTTCTAATTACCTGATTATCTTTGATCTGATAGGAAAATCTACCCTTACCGATTCTCTGGTGGCGGCTGCTGGTATTATCGCTCAGGAAGTCGCAGGTGATGTCAGAATGACAGATACACGTGCAGATGAAGCTGAGCGTGGTATCACCATCAAGTCCACTGGTATTTCACTATATTATCAGATGACTGATGAATCCTTGAAGAACTTCAAGGGAGAGAGAAATGGGAACGAGTACCTCATCAACCTCATTGATTCACCTGGGCACGTTGACTTCTCATCTGAAGTGACTGCTGCCCTCCGTATTACTGATGGTGCACTTGTTGTGGTTGACTGTGTAGAAGGTGTCTGTGTCCAGACAGAGACTGTGCTCCGTCAGGCCCTCGGTGAAAGGATTCGTCCTGTCTTGACAGTTAACAAGATGGACAGGTGTTTCCTTGAGCTTCAGGTTGACGGAGAGGAGGCTTATCAGACATTTTCCAGGGTTATTGAGAATGCTAATGTTATCATGGCTACATATGAGGATCCCCTTCTCGGTGATGTCCAGGTCTATCCCGAGAAAGGTACTGTTGCTTTCTCTGCTGGATTGCACGGGTGGGCTTTCACTCTCACCAACTTTGCCAAGATGTATGCTTCCAAGTTTGGAGTTGACGAGTCTAAGATGATGGAAAGGCTGTGGGGTGAGAACTTCTTTGACCCTGCCACCAAAAAGTGGACCACCAAAAACACCGGGTCTGCTACATGCAAGCGTGGGTTTGTTCAATTCTGTTATGAGCCAATCAAGCAGATTATTAACACTTGCATGAATGATCAAAAAGATAAGCTCTGGCCAATGTTGCAGAAGCTTGGTGTAACCATGAAATCTGAGGAGAAAGAGTTGATGGGCAAGGCACTGATGAAGCGTGTGATGCAGACCTGGCTTCCTGCAAGTACTGCTCTTCTGGAGATGATGATCTTTCATCTACCATCTCCTTCCACAGCTCAAAGATACCGTGTGGAAAACTTGTACGAGGGACCTCTTGATGATCAATATGCCAATGCCATCAGGAACTGTGACCCAGAAGGGCCACTTATGCTTTATGTATCCAAAATGATTCCAGCATCGGACAAGGGTAGATTCTTTGCTTTTGGTCGTGTGTTTGCTGGTAAGGTTTGTACTGGTATGAAGGTCAGAATCATGGGTCCCAACTATGTACCTGGTGAAAAGAAGGATTTGTATGTTAAGAATGTGCAGAGAACTGTTATTTGGATGGGTAAGAAGCAAGAAACAGTTGAGGATGTCCCTTGTGGTAACACTGTTGCCATGGTCGGTCTGGATCAATTTATTACCAAGAATGCAACATTGACCAATGAGAAGGAAGTCGAGGCCCATCCAATCAGGGCAATGAAGTTTTCTGTCTCACCAGTTGTGCGTGTTGCTGTTCAGTGCAAGCTTGCATCTGACCTTCCCAAGCTTGTTGAAGGGTTGAAGCGTCTGGCTAAGTCTGATCCTATGGTTCTTTGTTCTATTGAAGAGTCTGGAGAGCATATCATTGCTGGTGCTGGAGAACTCCACCTTGAGATCTGCTTGAAGGACTTGCAGGATGATTTCATGGGCGGTGCTGAGATTATAGTGTCTGATCCTGTTGTGTCCTTCCGTGAGACTGTACTTGAGAAGTCTTGTCGGACTGTGATGAGCAAGTCTCCTAACAAGCATAACCGTTTGTACATGGAAGCTAGACCCCTGGAGGAAGGGCTTGCTGAGGCTATTGACGATGGACGCATTGGCCCTAGGGATGATCCCAAAGTTCGTTCCAAGATCTTGTCTGAGGAGTTTGGTTGGGACAAGGATCTTGCAAAGAAAATTTGGTGCTTTGGTCCAGAGACAACTGGTCCCAACATGGTGGTAGATATGTGTAAGGGAGTTCAGTACCTGAATGAAATTAAGGATTCTGTTGTTGCTGGTTTCCAGTGGGCTTCCAAGGAAGGTGCATTGGCTGAAGAGAACATGAGAGGTATTTGCTTTGAAGTCTGTGATGTTGTTCTGCATGCTGATGCTATTCACAGGGGTGGTGGCCAAGTTATTCCCACTGCTAGGAGGGTTATCTATGCTTCTCAGCTTACCGCCAAGCCCCGCCTGTTGGAGCCGGTTTACCTTGTGGAGATTCAGGCTCCAGAGCAAGCCCTTGGTGGCATTTATGGTGTTCTGAACCAGAAGCGTGGACATGTGTTCGAGGAGATGCAGAGGCCCGGGACCCCTCTATACAACATCAAGGCATACCTTCCTGTCATTGAGTCTTTTGGATTCTCAGGTACATTGAGGGCAGCTACTTCTGGTCAAGCTTTCCCACAATGTGTGTTCGATCATTGGGACATGATGTCATCCGATCCATTGGATGCTGGTACACAAGCTCATCAACTCGTCCTTGATATCCGCAAGAGGAAGGGTTTGAAGCAGGCAGTGACTCCTCTGTCTGAGTTTGAGGACAAGCTGTAAGCATGCAGATGGTTCAGCTTGGCGGGGGTGGTTTTGATGGAAACATGCTTAGTTCGGATCTGCATAAGTTTTGTTTTACATTTATCTATGTTTTGGCGTACTTCTTACCATTTTAATGTAGGAGTTTATATCGTAAGTCAGCTATTGCAGAACTTATTTGTCATCTAAATGTACGAGAATGTTGCTGTGATTTTGTTTTTGAATGTCTTAGTTTTTGCTCATTGTTTTTGTTGCTTCGGTGGATCTCCCCTCCCCTGCTAATCTTTCTGACTCTTCATGTGTCATTTCATGGAATGTTAGTGGAACTGTTTCCATTTGTTTGTTTACCCTGAATTAGCCCCAGGACTGAGTTTTTCGTATAATGATTACTTAAATGATACTTTTTGGAGGTAGTATGATGAGCATGTTATAGTAATTTTGCAAAGAAAACAGAGGCTATTTTTGGATGGAGGTCTACTGATATAGTAATATCTTTATTTCGCTTCTGTTATCTTCCTCTGAGACAGGGTGACTTATTTCTTAGCTTCCGAGGATAGCAACACCTTGAATGATATCCTATAATCCAAAATGCTGTTTAGAGTTCTCAACCTTTTCCAGTTGTAACTGGCAACCTTGAGTGATAGTTGTAGCTTGCTGGCTGGTTAAACGTGCATATGCAGCTATAGAATTATGTAGAAGCTAAACAAGTTTGCCGTTTCCCACAAGCTCTTCCTTCCAGCTCTCAACCTGTTGCTCTACTAGCTAACTGTAGTTTCTTCTACGGTTCTAGGGAAGCTCTAGTTTATTTAGTAAGAATTCAAATTCTTAAGTCCTACATAAGGTTTCCTATAAGGTATATCCCACAGCAAGTTGGATTTGAAGCAGAGAAGCTTCTCTTTATTGGTTGCTGAATTGCAAGAAACGCTTTGAATGATGACATAATTTCTTGATAAAAAATATGAAAACATATTCTAATATCTGAAACAGCGAGCTTTTCAATCAGAGAATGAGAGAAGTCTATGTCCAGGATGAGACCTTCCAACTTGACCAACTGTCCCAAAAATGGAATATCTTTTAAAAAATTGTCCAAAAAGGGAAAATCTTCATCCATCTACCCTAAGTTACAGAGTATCAACTAGTGGTGGCATTGTCGAATCCTTCATAGACAATCTGGACGATGTTTTAGACTGCAAAGCTGATATGAGAGTTTCAATCAGGGGACAAATTGAAGTCCTTATTACATTGTAGTCTTAAAAGCTTTATCTTACTGAGGAATTTGTTGCCGAATCTATGATATGGAGGAGATAGTGTTCGGAGCTTAGGGATATTTCTTTGTGTGCTGTATATTTGGCCTAGAAGATGGAGTGGATTCTGAATTCACTTCAAATTCAACTCAGCCCCTTTTGGAACTGCGCATTAGGCAAGATCATTCAGGAGGTTAAACTTATTAATCAAGAAGGCAGGAAGATAATTCCAGATGAAGGTAATGAGCTTCCCAAATCAATCAAGTAGAATCATGTTAACTAGTCGATTACACGAGTTTGGCTTTGCAAGCTAAACCCTGATATTCCTTCAGAGTTGGTTTAAGTGGAAAGAGAGATAGCAGAAACAAGTCAAGGACTTCCTCTATTTGTTCTTTTGATATATAGCTGGACTTCCTCCATCTCCTTTTAACCGTCGCTTTAGCTCAAAATATTTGTGCCAAAATAATTGTCACTTTAAGAATTCAAGATTAAATTTGTTAATTGTTTTTAACTATAACCCTTAATATTGAAGAAGTGTAGTTCTTTTTAATACCACTCAATTCTAAAAAAAGCATTTAATAGGGGTAATTTAGCAAACTATACCTTATTATTATTGTTTTCCTAATGGATATGAACAGAGCTAACACGACAATTAAAATGGGACGGACAAAGTATCTTCTTAAATTGTTAGACTTAGGGTACATCTTATGTAGATGATTTCCCCAATGAAATGGTGTGATGCTGATTCATCTGAAGTACTTATTCCTTACTGGTGCAATTGATTCAATTTCGTCCTCCCTAGACAAACTTTTACTGCTATTTTAAACTTGGTGTCCAAAATATTTCTTTTGCAAATATTTCCTCACCTCGTAAAAAACAAATAGTTTCAAACACTATTCTTTGGCAATAATACTGCTATTGGTAATACTAGCAACAACCACTTTTGTCCTCTTTCTATTTTGTCTTCCATTTTCCCAATACTGCAGCCGTTATACCTCGTAATTCAAGAAAAAGACACATCTAGGCCACTTCATCAAGAACCAAGTGCCAACACAATTCTGATCAAACAACACTCTAAATTCTGAGAGCCCTTTTACAAATTTAAACAAAATCTTGGAATTCACTCCACCATTTCCCTTTTAAAAAAAATGCCTGTCTCTTTGTACCTACTGTTTTGTTTGCCTTTCGTCTTCATGGTTATCCTCTTCTTCTTCTACTTCTACGTAGTTTCAAGAACAACGAGTGGTGACCACCCTTCTCGGCCTGTGAAATCCGCCCGAAAAGGAGGACTTTCTGATGTGCAGCTTGAAAAACTCCCTAAGATCACTGGAAAAGATTTGAGTTGTGGCAATGATTGTGCTATTTGCTTGGATGTGATTGAAAACGAGGAACTTGCTAGGTTGGTTCCTGGTTGCAACCATGGATTCCACCTCGAATGTCTTGATCTTTGGCTGTCCAGGCAGCCATTTTGTCCTGTTTGTAGACACAAGCTTCAGCCTGAGTTGTTCAGTCAGGATGGAAGTAATTCGGTGCTTGTGCTGGTGGAAGCTAGCAGTATAGTTGAGGTGCGCACTAGTTGACTTTGACACCACCGTTGTAGAAAAATACCGAATTTATCTTTGGTTGCAAAATGACTTCTTTTATGCTTAGTGGTTTTAGTGAGATTGCAGTAGAGATTGTAGGTGGATAAATTCTGAAAATAGGATGATTAAGGTTATGTGAGATTTGACCAAATCCTTATTTAGCTTTCTACTTAATGTTTTTCAAGAATCTGTCTTCCAATTATCAGTGGAAGCCTAGTCTTTAAGTTTCTATCTAGAGACATTCTTGGTTAAAAGATGATGTTTAATTCTTTTTACTTGGTCAAACAAAACTACAATCAAAGTTTATCTTAACAACATATAAAAAAGATGTTTGATGAGACAATGGGTAAGGCATCTGACTATCTATCCTATCATTCAATAAATGCAACTCCCTCCCTCTCAAATTGACTATCCTAAGTTGAATTTGATAGTCAAATTACTAAATTTGTCCATGATAAGTAAGATTCAAATTATGAGGTCTGTCTATTCACTTTTAATGTAACTTACCTTTTGGAACTTAAATATGACTTCAACGTATTTATATCATATTTTAACAGGGTTTATAATTGTATTCTTAAATTTGAAGAGATGATCCAGCTCAAATATAACACAAATGATTGGGAGTATAATATGTCAAACAATGTCAATGTATAATAGGACTAAACTGTGCAGAGTATAAGACTTTTACATCAGGAATTAAATTGCACTGGTTAGAAGGAAGATGGAGAAAGAGACACGACTAGTAAAGTGATGTCTTTAAGTAAATTTTCTGTAGGTAAGACGGCGTGCGATAGACCAAATAGCCTGACCATTCTTTGGACCAGCGCATAGCTAGAACTTTGTGCACCGGCCGCCTTTTTTGTTTTGCGTTGGTAATCAAGACTATCAAATCTTTTATGCAGAATTATGTGAGTTGTTGTCACCATTTGGGGTGCATTTATGCAGCAGCTATGGATTTTGATTTTTGCCGGGGAGGAATATGAAGGCATGCCTTCATTGTGTCATATGCTGTGAAACCAATTGCCACTGAGGGAACAATCTGCCAACAAAACAAAAAGACATTTTTAATGAGTTACTGAGAATTCTAGCAACCCAAAATATGGTACATCACTAACTAATTATTAAACAGTGGATCCGATCCGTCTTGGAATGATAACTTGCAGTATATTCTTTGTCAAATGCTAAGACATGATTCCTCTATTTGCTAAATAGTAAAACACCTATAAATGCAACAAGAACAAATCAAAATTTAGAAATGGTAGGAATTTGGGTCGTGTTAGGAAGTGCATAACACGACTTCTCTCCAGAACATACAGCAGAAAAAGCTTCTCCTAGACAATTTTTTCGTGATTTTTCGTGGTCTGGAAGCGGATTAAGGTAATTCAGAATACGACAGCAAAAAGAACGGTGATGAAAACTGGTATATTAAGGGAAAAGGAAGGAGAAGAGGATAGTTTTCATTTGGAGAGTGGTGAAATGACAGGGATAGTTAATTTATTAAGTCATCCAGAAGCGATAATCTTTTCAAAAAGACTCGTTAAATGTGATATTTTACATAACACAAAATCTCATATCTCAGTGTCTCTATACTCTTTGAGATCAAGTATAAATGGCTGACTGACTTTGTTTTTTCCAAACGGCATGGAAATTTTATCCTGTATATTGTATAAATGAACAAAATGATACCACACAATTAGCAATGGTAATTTGGGGATTCTAACAATTTATTCACAAGTTTATTTTGTTTCTGAACCCCACTAAATTGACCTGAAAGGCAACACCCTTATGATTTTTCCAATAAATAGTAGGGCAATCTGCATCATGCCCTGATTCAATCAACAAAGTAATAAAGGTAAAAACAGTAGCAAAATTCAAAAATAAGAGATACTTTGTCTACTTTTCCCTATCAGAAATGTCACTTTTATTATCAACTTTAGGATATCCTTTCAGTGAACGTTCAATAAGTACTTCTCAAAGCACTGTAGTCGGACAAGCTTTGTGTTTTAGTCACAGGATTATTGCTTTTGCTTTGTCGGTCATTCACATTTATCTTTTTTTGTTTCTGAAGTTAAGCAGCATTCAAGGTCCAAAAAGTATTTCCATTAAAGTTTAACGCAATTCCCAAATGAAGTCTGTGCCAAAATGTGAGATATATTAGCATTCAAGATAGGGTAAACTAGAAATTCTTTAAAGAACAAGTTAAAAATTGCAGTTATAGCGAAAAAGGCTACTACAGAAACGAACTTATTACCTTCATATAGTTAACACTGAGACCTGCAAATAATTGTCTCCAACCTTGATTACGAACAATGTAAGAAAGGCCATCAAGTGTGTTCTTATATCTGGCTCTCCCCTGCATTGAAGGTTGCAGATGCTCTACCTGAAAAAAACAAACATTTTGCTTAGTTTATTGATTCATATGCACAAGTACATGCGCAAAAGCTATGTTGCTTACACTCTTCAAAAATGTCACCGGGTAAGTATTTTTGGAGGATCTGACGGGGGTGCGGCCGTATTTTTGGAGTCATAGCAACATAGCTTAAAAGAGTGCAAAAACTTAACTACGTTTATATGTGGAAGTGCTGGTGCACAATATTGACTAATACCTCAATTTCATTTTATGTGACACTATTTTTCTTCTAGTCTGTTCTGGAAAGAATATTGCTATTTTATATTTAGAAACAATTTAAATTTAAACTTTCTATTTTACCCTTACTGTTACTGACATTATTTTATAGCCACACAAATGTTAAAGCATGTATAAGACTACAAGCTCCAAAATTTTCTTTCTTAAACTTTGTGCCCAGTCAAAAAGTTCACATGACATGAAACTATGGGAGTATTATTCAGTGAGGCTGCCACTTGGGGTTTAGTACAAATGAACACAAGTTAATCACTCAAATTTCGGTGGAGTTCCAGAAGCACAGATGATGCACAGAGTTACTAGTTACTCTGCCCTGGATATAGAATGGACATGAATTCAAAGTACAAGAAACTTTTTGAGGGCATAGGGTCTGACAGACCAGAATATCTGCACCAATACTTGTCTAATACAAGCACTAATTCAATCAACAGAAGATGTATAGAGGTTACATTGAGCTATATTGGCACGTGAGAGTGCGTAATGGGTGATACCTGCATCTGCCTCCTAACCACGTCCAATGGATATGTAAATGTCTGACCCAATAAACCAGCTATAGCTCCACAAGAGAGACGCATCAAAATCGAGGTTTGTTGCTCTTCAGGAACATGCCTCTTTAACTCCTCGTAAACGTAAAACTTCAATCCAGCGTAAGGAAGAATACCAATAAGGGTGGGCCCTATTTAGAATATAGATCGAGTCATTTTGATCATCAACGATACTCATAAAGAATTAAAACCATAAACCATGAATGCAAAGGCCTAGACAATGCATGTACAGCCATGGACATCAAGCCACAAAAAAATTAAAAAATTGGGGAGGCTCAACAGATTTTAGTAATGAGAGATATTAATCTACATTTTCACAAAAAGAACAATTAAATTTACTCTTTTATAGAGATTGTCTCATTTCCTTATCTGGGTTGTTCATAGTTGAAAACATTTTACCTCACTTTTTCTATTTTCTTTACCTAGGATCCTCTTTTATTGTTATATGAAATCCCAAATTTATCAAACTATAGTCTTCATCTCTACTTTTGAGTCCACCTGTTTCGACCTATTAAAATTTTCACCTCATACCCAATCACTAAAATATTTTATAGGGGGATTAAACAAGTGACATGAAAAACATGTTCCATCAGTTTCAGAGTTTTTTCAACATTGCAGTAAAGAATAAAAAACTACAAAGTACGTGAAACACCATAAAACCCATAATTAATTGTTTGGAATTAGTAATACTTCATCAAAAAAAGAATGACCAGTTCTGGCATCAAATTCAAGTTCAACTTGAATATGCAATCTAAAATTTGGTGCCTATGGTTATTTGCCTATAGCACAACATGCTTCATGACTTAGATCCTAATGTTTTAAAGGTTTATGACCTAGTTAGAAGGGGAGCCTTGGCGTAACGGGTAAAGTTGCTGCCATGTGACCGCTTGCAGAAATGCAGGTTAAGGGTGCGTACAATATACCCTTTTGGTCCAGCCCTTCCCCGGACTCCGTACATAGCGGGAGCTTAGTGCACCGGCTGCCCTTTTATGACCCAGTTAATTGCGGATGAGTCAATTAGGGAGTAACAGTTCATTTTTCAATATGAAACAATAAATACTTACCTACACCTCGATAAAGACCACGGAGTCCTCCCTCCTTGTAGACAGACTCTAGGACATTTTTAATGCCACTATATTGAGGATGAGTTGGTCGAATGCCATTCCCCAAATTTCCCCTTGTGTCCTTGAACTAAAAAAAGATAAAAGGAAGAAGATGAACATGAGATGATAGCCATCCACACATTTTAATACCGTGAAAATAGATCGAGTATGCCAAGTTGCCAACACTCAAGAAGGATAAAATTCATCTGTTTGATCTAGTGAACCTACATGAGACTGAGAGTAAGAGAATATAGAACCATCCGTGAAGATCCTTAGTGCAAAGTATTTTTTTGAAGGTAACTCTGGCATATATAAGATACCACAGAATAACCAAATTGGAGCACAAAATCAGTGTCTTTCTTTTTAACCTAATTCTTGAATCAGTCAAAATGATTTTTGCGGTCTTTATCTCAAAACACAAGCTTAAGCAGCAAACTGATACCAGGATACAATTTTTACTGATTGATGTAGCAGATGTCTCCTAAATCGTGGAGTGTTTTTTCTTTTTGGGTGGGGATGGGGGGGGGGGTTGGGGGGGGGGGTGAGGGGGATTATTCCTCCATCATACATTAGTTTACATGAGTTTTTAATAAAGTAGGCAGCTTACCTACAATGGTCTACACATCTTAACGAAGTAACAAGGTATATTGTCATTTTGATGAAGTCAAAAAATCAGAAACAGCTTTTCATCCTACTAAAGCAAGGCTATTTGTAAGTGCTTTCAATCAGATCAATTTCCAACTTTGCCAAACGATGTTAATGAAAAAACTTCAATAGGAAAAGCGCAAAATATGCACAAAACTAGCTATTGCAAAATAGAAAAACTACCAAATACAATCAGATATTCACCAAGAAAAGGAAGAAAAACAAAAACAGTTTTAACAAATTAAGCACCTGATAAGCCAGTTTGGTACGGGCCAAATCAAGGGGATAGGTACATAAAACTGCAGTTCCTCCAGATGCTGAGCCAGCTAAAAGATCAACGACAGGTCCTGTTCCTAAGGCAGAGTAATTATTCAATATCCACCCTCGATACCGCTCATAGGTCATGTAATGAAGTGCAGCATATGGTACAATTCGAAGAACACTTGCTCCATTTCCTCTGCAATACATGGTGTCATGAATAAAAAAAATCCTTGACAACAAACTTTAGATTTTAAAATCAAATATACACTTACTTGTAGAATCCAATAACACCTTCATGCTTCAGAAGCTTCTTTAAAGATTGATAAACTCCAAGGGAATGAAATCCTTCAGTTCTTGTCTATAAAAATCAAGGAGAAGAGCGAGGGGGAGGAAGTTAGGATTGTCATAATGATTTAAAAGGGAATCAAAGGCATCAAATCACCAGATTAAGTTGCCACGTGCAGAATGGGAGAAAAGAACACACAATGAGCAGCTGGCAGGTGCATTCAGGTGGAAACACAAGAAGCTCAACTAAGGATAGAAAACAAACCAGAGAAGTTGATGAAACATAGATTGCAATTCAAAAAACAAACAAAACTAACGACATAGAGAAACTGCAAATAAAAACTCTCCTTAGAACATTCATGGAAGTAGACTAGTAGAGTGGGTGTTGTAACTGCTTTTCATTCATCCAATTCCAACTGACCCCTCTACCTTCACAAGGTAGGAGTAAGGTCTACGTATACACTACCCTTCCCATACCCCACTTGGGCGATTACACTGGGTTTGTTGTTGTTGTAATTCCAACTAACCCCCGATCAATGTCAACTTGTATATATTATTACTTATAAATACTCCAAGTAGACTATCTTCTCTAAGAATTAAATGCATAGAGCCTAGAGAACATCAAAAGAAAATGCCTAAGAAGCATAATATACAATGAAACAAAAGGCTTTCAGTTTGTGTAATCCATTATAAATTAGCACAAAAAGTGATTAGATTAAAACAAGGGAAGCTAGGTAGCACATCTCTTTGTTCACCTGTAAAAGTATTTTAACACGCTCCAACGGAGCAACAGCAGTTTTAGCAAATGCACCAGCAGCTCCTCCAGCAATAAGCTCCTTCACATATATAGGCAAACCATCAAAAACTGAAACCTCTCTATGAGCAGAAGAAGAAGAAGAACCATCAACAAGCCCTGCCACGTTTCTGGACAAAGTAGACCCTTGTGAAGATGAACCCATTTTTCAAAGTTACAATCTTTTTTAGAGCCTAAAAATCAAAACAACTTATACTATCCACCCTGTAGATTATAAAACTGCTTGTCCCACCTATCTCTTGGGATACAAAAAGGCAAAACTTTTTGCTCAAACAATGGCCTGAGAACACAACACCGTATGTTCACAAGCCTCCTATCTTTTTCTTCACCAATTACAAGTATCATCAAACAGATGCAAAAGTTAATTGAAATAAAAAGGCTAACAAGATCCAAAACTCAAATACTTCTTTCAATCAAAACAACCCCATTGGTCTATATCTTGCCCACATGAAATTGCATCAATCAAACCTCCCAAATCCAAGAACATCAAGAAATTAATCTGTGACCAATAACAAACCCAGATCGATAAAATTCAAGACAACCAATGAAATCAATAATACCCCTTTTTTTATATAAGCGATGTCCAAATGGATTTGGGTTTCCTCAGAAGATTCTTTTTTTTTGAAGTGACTTGTACCAAGATTTGTTGCCTCCCTATTTCTAGGAAGGCTGTGAATGGGAACGGGAATTTTGGGGAGTGGTCAAAGTCGGTATCCATTCATGCAAATAACGTGCCTGAGTTGGGCCCAACAATACCTATGACTTCCTCACAATAATAAAAGGTGGCAATATACTGCTATAATTATTTTCTTCAAAGTATTTTTTAAAAGATTAAATTTATATACATGGACATGTAATTTTTTTTATACATTATTACTATTTTTTAAATTATATAATATATTATTAAGTTATTTTCTGAATTACGGTATTAAACTTGTTATAAACAATTACTTTATTATAAACGAATACCTGTTCTAGTTGGCCATCCTAATATGATGATACAAAAAATAACTTAAATTTTTTTTAAATACGTGAGTAAACTGGTAAATAAGAAAAGTAAAAAAGGTCTGGATATTTGTAGTGGAATTTGAACTCCGCATGTGAGTAACCAATGAAAAAGTTATATTATCTGTCATATACTGCAACTCTAATTCCAAAAATAGTGTAAATTCAATTTGTACTTGAATAAAATTCGTCAATATGACAAAAGGCTAGAAGCGCTAATGAAACAAGCAAAGATCTATACCTCATTGAGTTCAACTTATCTTCTTACTTATAATATTGATATTATATTCTCCGTAACTAAAACTATTTTTTGTTATCTAACGAAGTACTTAATAAGAAATAGCATGGCTATCTAATTTGCAAATTATGTGCAGATAACACACATAAAAGTCTGGTTTGGAAGGACGATATTCCATATCAAACTTCTATTATATTGATTACCTCATTATACCTCTAGTAAATTGTTTCTACTTGATTTAGTTTTCTTCGGTGGGTGGCTCGACTATAAGGCCAATAAAGCAATGAGAAATTTTTACAAACCACAATTGTTTAGTGGTTATTAGCTAGTTATAGTTACCATTTACTATATTACTTCCTATAGCCGTGTTTTCAGATTTTTTAGAGTGTATTCGATGTATTTAAGTTACTGTATCTATGAATACAGTAACATTTCTCGGCGTAAAACAGGGGATTACAACTAGACAAATTATTGTATTCGACCGTATTCACAGCGTGAAACATGGGATTACAGCTAGACAGATATTGTATTTGACTGTATTCACGATATGTATTTGTGAATACAGTAACGTAAATAGCGCAATTCATGGTATATTCAGCTGTTTTTAAACGGAAAGTGAATCAATTAACATAATAGACTCCTAATATAACTCAAACTCAATTATAACACACAAATTTTGTATTTCCAGTTATAAAAAAGATTCCCAATCTAAAAACACCCCAAAAACATAGCAATCTTCAGAGAAATTATATAATTACATTGAATACAGTTAAATACATAAATATATATTGAATAAGTATAGCAGGTCATCTATAGTGCAAAAAACATATGAATAGATATTGCAGATACATTTGAATAAATAAATTATATTAATTAAAAAAAATATATGAATACATTCATGGAATATAGCGAGACAATGATTACAATAAAATACATGAAATATAGCGAGATACATAGAAATACAATGAAAAAAAAGACAATGAATACAATGAAATACATAGAATACAGCGAGATACATTGAAATACAATGAAAAAAAAGATAACAGACTCTTCAAGTTGCTCAGCCCCAAACTCCATCGTCTTTGTTCAAGAATAACCCTAATGTCGTCTCGTCGATAGCAGATTTCGAACCTCCATTGTCAGCCCCAATTTACCCTATAAAAATCATCGACCAAAATTGTACTGTGCAAATACTATAAAGATTGGTGGGGGGCCTGAGAATGGTCACATTTCACGAGGGACATTAGGGTATGGGCGGCCAATCAGAGCTCCGAATCAGAGGAACGGACCACCGATTTGATGGCTTTGAGAAGGCGGGGATCCACTTCCGGTGGAGTTGGTGGCTTTATCAATTTAACCCTACCACCACCATTTTTTTCTTTTTCTTCCTGCATTGCGGTTACCTATTTCATGGGTTATCTCCTCTGAATCCACTTTTGTTTTCCACGGTATTTGGAGATGAATACAACGTTGAGAGAGAGAGAGGGTGGAGAAAAATCTGAAAGAATGGGAGAGAAAAATAATACAAAGCGTATTTTATGGCTTAAGGGTAGGAGGTGACCATAAATAGATATTTGGCTATAAAAATCAAAAGGCAGCTATGGAATATAATTTTTTAAAAGGGTATTTATTTAAAATAAATAAGGTATCAACCTTTGCTACAGGAGGTAAAAATTCCTAAAGCAATCGCTCTGGGCCCTAACTTTTTGGGGGCCCTATTTTCTCCTTAAAGATGTATTGTATATGTATTGTTAAATAAAATATGTGTACACTTATATTTTTTTTTAAAAAAAAAATGGAGCGAAAGCACAACAACTTTAATGCGAGGATCGTTTTGTAATAATTAGAGAATGAAATAATTTTTAATGAATTGTTTCCTTATATGGGCAGGGTAGCTATTTTTTTTTGCCTCATTTATATCCTAACAACTAATATGGGCCCGCATTATTATTTATATATTTACCTTTTTTATTTTCTCTTTTACTATTCTTATGTCTCTCAATCGGCAACTTACAGCGGCTTACAAGTTGTCTTCTTCAAAATATCAAGTATTACAACAAGCAATTATTATACTGAAGCAATACAACACTATTCGATATCATTATATCAACTTATCTTACTCTATAGTTTCTTACCCTTTGATTTTTGCTATTATCTATTGTTTCTTGTACTTTGATTATCTTATTTATCTGTGATATCTACTGCTCCTTTTTGGATTGTTTTATCATGACTTATTTGTTTTCGTTACTTTCATTTTCATACTGCATTGAATTGATTGTTCTTATTTGACCTTTTTTTTGCCATGCTTTCTCTTGAGCTGAGGGTCTCTCTACCTCCGAAGGTAGAGGTAAGGTATGCGTAAACGCATACCTTCCCAGACCCCACATTGTGGGTTTCACTGGGTATGTTGTTATTATTGTATATCAACTTATCAAATTCTTGAGTCAGTTTTGTTATTCTACCTTTATTTTATACTTTTTCATTGAAAATTTATCGTTGATATTCATACTTAGGCAAAAGCGGATCTAGGATTTAAACTTTATTGGTTTAGATTCTCAATTCTATCACATCTCATCTAATTTAATGGTATCAAAATTTATTATTTGTATATATTTAAGAATTTTTGGGCAAAAATACAGGGTATGAGGCCATAGCTTCTATACTAGATACGCCTCTATACTTAGGGTCTTTTTGAAATTTGGTTTTAGACCCCAATCTTGTTGAGACGGCCATTTTTCCTTTTTACTAGTTTCTTTGTTAGTTGCTTTAACCTGGCATTTCATAAACTTGTTTGCGTGCTTCCTATAATTTTCAGTATAATCATTTGGTATTTGGAATTTGTTGAAGCAACTAATCATAATTTAGTTCTAATTAGGTCTATCGAAAAGGCAAAGCATTCCTTACCAATAACAGATTGTTTATTTACCACATCCTTCGCTTCTTAATAAGTTAATATATGAAGTGCTCAATTCTTCTCTTGCCAAAAGAGGGGATAAAGAAAAGTTAACACTGCCCAACTTTTCCCACTTCCAACCTTATGTTAAATCAGTGTTTTAAAAAGCGAAAGCCGTAAGGCGGGGCGTTTTACTTAATACGGGGCGAGGCGAAAACCTCGAAACATGGAACGTAAGCATCACGGATCTTTAATTTTTAAATTTATGAATTAATAATATAGCATTATAATATAAAAAATACATTAAAAGTGCAAAAAAACTTAAAAGAATTAAAGAAACTCATTTCTATTTCTATTATATAGAAAAGAGAAGATGGTCGACCAAGGGTAGAAGAGCCATTTCGATTAGCCATAGAAGTGCTTACCTGTCTAATAAAATAACTCCGTTATTGAGCTTTTCAGCCACCGCCTCTTTCATCTTCTTTTCTTTCCCACTTTTCAGTTCTATTCCTCTTCTCATCTGTGGTGTTAAATTTTCAGGTTATCTACTCTTTCGATTTTTTCCCAGGTCTTCCTATTTGTTTTTAAATCTGTATGCACTTTTGTAGGTTTTTGAAAAACCTCATAGTTTGAATCTTTGTAAGAAACAATGGCGGACTTCTCATTATGGGTTTAGAAAATGAAATTTCGGCTAAATCTGCTCATTTTTTCCTCGATTTGTCTGATTCTCCATCCTTATCATATATGACTTATAATTTTATTTTATTGTTTTTATAAAAGTGTAATGATCCAATAGAAATTCCCTAAATAATGTTGTTGTTAGCGGGGTTCGAAGAAGCTGAGAATAGCTATAACAGAAAATATGAAGAGTGTTAACAGAAATTTGAATAAACGGTCGAGATTAAATTGGAGTTAATGAGCTGCAAGGGCCCAGATCTTGCCACGTCAGCAGAAGGTTGTTATAACCAACTGAAGCTGAGAGAGAAGGCATCGTTCATCAGAGTAATTTCTCTTTCTCTTTCTTCGATTCTCTCTTCTCTTCTTCACTCCTCTCTTCTTCTTCCTAACAGATTTCTTCTTCTCTTCTTTCTCCAGGTTCAGCAGCTATGGAGCTTAGTTAGAAGTAGTCATTTTCATTCAGTTGTAATAGTTAGTTTTCCCTTTAATCAATATATCAGAAAATTATCCCAAAAAACACTCTATTTCCATTTTCGTATTTCGATTTCCTTAATTCGAATCAAGTTCATTACAATTGGTATCGGAGCTTCGATTCTGCGACTGTGAGGAAGGTAATGGTTGAAGGAACGAGGCTGAAAGTTATGGATGACAAACTGGTGAGACACGATGAGATTTTGAGTGAAGTTATGGCCACTCAAGAGGAACTGCGCAACACTCAAACAGGGATACAAGGTACCTTGGAGCTGATCTTAGAAAGGTTGACGAATTTGGAAAGGGTTTCCCAAAGAGCTCATGCTGATAGGCCACAAGGAGATGGACTGTTGCCAATACCAGGTCTAGAATTGAGGCAGAATAGACCTCCAGCTGTGCAGACCCCCACTCCTA